GCCTTTAAGATTTTCTCCCTATGATGTTTAGCAATTTGACTATAATGTGCTTAGTTGTGGGGTTTTTTTGCATTTATTCTCCTTTATTTTATGGTGTTTCTTGGATTGAGAGATTGATACTTTAGTCACTTTAGAAAATTTCAGCTAGTAAGTATTTAAATACAGATGTCATTCTCTTTTCTCTATCCTGACTTTTAGTTACATATGTGTTATATTGCTTAATATTACTCTATTGGTCCATGAGGCTCTGTTTATTTACTCTTTCCAGTCTTTTGTCCCTCTGTGTTCAAACTCTCATGCTCTATTTTCAAGTTTAATGAACTTTATAGTGAACAAATTTTTCCACTGGCTTTTAGAGTTGCCATGCTCTCTCAAAATTTTCTGCCATTTCACTTTCTTTTTCATCTTTCCCTGTCAATACTTTGACATATTTATCATTGAGATTGTACAGACCTTTCCCTCTAATTTCAGCATCTACACCACGTTTAGCTTTTTCTATTAATGTTTTTCTTTGATTTGGGGTGGGAAATCCTTGCATCATTTATGTGTGGTATTTTTTTCCTTCATAATGGACATTATGGACCCTGAGTTGCTGAGTTTCTGGATCTGTTACCTTCTGTCAGATGTGATGATTTTAGTTCTCAAAGCAATTCATGATTGGCACATCATCTTGCTTCTATAGTTCTGTAGGCTATTTTAGGGGAATCTATTCAAATTAACCCTTCTTTTCAGGGTGTCAATTTGGTTTTAGGATGTGGTCCTTAATTCTAAACCCCTTCTTGTTATTTAGCAAGACCCTTGAATGTAGAGAGACTTGAACTCTGAAAGTGCCAAATTTTAACCTCTATGCCACCAGGGAGCTAGCTGTACAGGAGACTTGGATTATGTTTTTCCCACACTAGGAAGCTGCTGGATTCTCTTCTCAGACCCATTAGCTCTCCAGATGCCCTTTGGTCCAATCCAGGAGTCAGTTAAGGATGTGAGGGGAACAGCCCAAGTGATTTTCCCCATCAAGGACTTTCTTGTCATTGCCCAGCCTCCCTGGCAGTCATCCATGCTGATTTCTGACTCTCCAGCCCACAAGCACACTGCCTTCTTGTGCTCTTATGTGCCAAGGCCTGGGGACTGAGGATTTCCCCAGGAGAGAGGCCAGATGGGTGCAGAAATTGCCCACATTAAATCTCTTAGCTCGGGGGCTGCATCTTCTCCAGCTTCTGCCTGCTTTAGTCATGCTCCTGTGCCTTCCAACAGTTGTTTTAATATTTTCCCCAGAGTTTATAATTGCTTTTGGCAGGAAGGGTAGTCTAATATAAGCCACTTCCTATTCTGGGAAGCTGTGAAGTTCTCATGTATTTTTATTTTACATATATGTGAAGCCTGCCAGTTTTCAGTATTATTACCCACATATCACCCCTTCTCTTGCCTCTCCCTTCCCTTTCTGAGTCACCCTGCCTCCGTCTCCGATCACTGAATTCAAGACTCTCGGTAGGGCGCTTCCTTGGGAGTCACTGCCAACTTCACAGGCACTCACCAGCTTGGCAGCCCTGGCTGTGATACCTCAGCAACCTTCTCCACCAAGTGTGGCCACGTGCTTTCTCTAATGAGGTCTGCACTGAAGACCAGGGTCCCCTCCTCCCCAAATCCTTCCCTTCAGATGTGCAGTCTCAGCTCAGAAAGGGGTCTACCCCCAACCCCCATTTTTCTTTGCATTCTTAGTATTCGCTGTGCACTGGGAGGTGGTCACCTGTTAGCAGCTCATCCTTCTTTATATTAATGTCTCCATCTTCACATTGTAGCCATCCATGTCCCCTAGCTGTCCCTCTCTTAGTTATTGTGTTTTTCAGTTCCTGTTTTTATGGGTTTTCTGATAGAATTATTAACCCAATGTATTTTCCTGAAAGTATAGAAGTTATTTTAAAGATTGTGTCTGAAATTCCAAAATCTACATCTTATGCAGCCCTATTCTATTGTCTTGTTTTTCTTTCCACAGCATTTAGGGTTGGAATGTTTTCATTATTTGACATGGACAGATATCACTGGGCTAGGTAGAAGGCTCTCTCCTTCTGCCAAAGTTGGAGTGGAGGAAGGTATTAGTCACTTTCCCATCACTGGTACAAAATACTCAAAAACCACTACTTAAAGGAGGAGAGGTTTATTTTGGCTCATGATTTTAGTGGGTTCAATCCATGCTTGGCTGCTTTTATGGCAGAAATTGCATGGTGGATGAACATGGTGGGGCAAAGCTGTTCATATCATGGCAACCAGGAAGCACAGAGAGAAGGGAGGAGCCAGGGAAAGAACACACCCTTTCAGGTCATGCCCCACTGACCTTCCTCCCACTAATAACATAGTCAGCTATGAACTCATCAATGGATGAATCCACTCATGAGTATAGCACCTTCATAATCCAATCACCTTCTAAAAACCCCACCTCCGAGCACAGGAGAGTTTGCAGGGACATTTTAGATTTAAACCTTAATAGTGATGTTGGCCCAAGCAGGTAATGAGACGTCCTGAGGCTGGTCTGGCCTCTGCCAGGACCAGTCTGTCCCTCTTGTCGTCACTCTTGGTCCATTGTTCCACTAATGCTCCAACTAAGGACATTTCCCTCACCAGGCCACTGTCCCTCAGGTTTCTGTCTCCCAAGTCTTACTTACTGCTAATGCCCTTTGTGGCTTTCTGACCCTGAACAGCTTCATTGTGTCTAGTTTCCAAGCCTCTCATAATGCCATGAAGCTTAGGATTTGGCAAATTCCTCAAGAGAAATCTGGGCATACGGTGGGCTTACTTCTCTGAAATTCTGTTTTCTTCTGGTTCATGACTCCCAAGTCCTGCTGGCCTGTTTAGCCCCAGATACCTCTTTGACCTTTTCAACCCTGGGATATAGTTCTCAGCTTGGGATCTCCGCCCACACAGTGAGCTACAGATGCCCCCAGAGTGAAAGTCCCAAAGTTGCCTTGGCTCCCCCTCCCCACCCTGTGTTCCCTTTGCTTGAGGACATGTCTTGGAGCCTCAGCTGCTTCTGTCACCTTCCTGTGCCCCACACCAGTGGCCCTTTTTACATTTTGTCCAGCCCTGATGGCTGTTAGTTGTAGGAAGGCTGGTCCAGTGCAAGGCATTCTGTGGGCAGAGAACATCCTGTTTGTTTGGGTTTTTGTTTTTTTTTTTTTTTGTAATTGGCTTTCCCCCTAACAGACCACATGCTCTGTGTGCTAGTTTTCTCTGAATTGTCAATTTCACACAAACTAATTTGGTCCTGAGTACACTCTGGGGGTCCAGAAAACACAATTTTATGTAAAAACCAAAAACTGGAGCAATTACTTGGATTATTTCAGTGAAATATCATCTTTGTTCCTATATGTCCAGGCTGCTTGTACAAAGTCCAGACAAAATGAGGAATAATTTTCTGGTGCTTTGGTGTGTAGACAATACAAATGTTTAAATTTCTAGAGTAAATATTATTTGAGTTTTATCACTACCACTGCCATTAGCCATGAGTTTCTGTTTCACTTGGTTATTTCTCCTGGGAAGATAAGAAAGCTCTCATATATCTTCAACATTTTCTCTAAATTTTGGTCTGCACAGAAGTTCCAAAGGATGGTTGGGGATAGCAAGTTTTCACATCTTATCATCACCTTCAAGGTGAGTGTATGTGCTCCTAGGCATGCAACTATCCTTAACATCGCACGATGAATCTGTCCTACAGCCTTCCATAGCCACTAGGTGCTATCTCGAAAGTGAAACAGTCCTGGGTCTGAATTCCAGTTCTGCCATTTAACACTCCTTAACACTCTTAAGCCAGGGTTTCCCCCATTCTCCAAGACACCCTGATCTCCTCTCCCCTGAACCCCATAGCAGGCAGTTTTCACGTGACTGGCTCTTTCCTGAAGTCAAAAGCTGAGCTTATCCTCTTTGGGCAGAGGACCCAGCATGGAGTTGAGCTAAGTATGCCCTTATTGGATAAAGCACAACCTCATTCATGGGCAAGTACATGGCAGCAATGTTCCAGGGGTACTTCCACTGTGTGGGGATGGGGGCAGCAAAAGAGGGACCCTGAGTCCTCTTGCAGGGAGGAATGTAGTTGCCATGGAAACGTAAAAGGCAGGTGCTCTGAGTGGGACTGCTGAGATGTGGGAGAAGACTCCCCCCAGGCAATGATTGTGAGTCCAGGTGAGGAGGAAGAGGCAATGGGGTGGCCCACTGTGCACCTAGATGGTGAGAAGCCCCAGGATTGTTCATGTAGATAGGGACAGGAAGGGCCTTCCAGGAAGAGGATCACCATGAGGTAAGGCACAGCAGCAGAGAATGAGGGATTTGTGAATGTGTGGCTGTTTAGAGTGCCATAATCCTTGATAGTCTCTGTGTTTTCATCTATCCCGATGAATCTGCATAAAAATAAGGCGGAAACATAAGTAACCCTAAAGCCATTGAAGACATAGGTGCCACCATCACGTCCACATGGATATCCTCAGACAAACCACCCAAAGGGAAGCCCACTTCTGTCTTCTGTACAGTGCTGGCCTGTTACTGCTGGTGGTAGGATCTTAAGTCAGGATTCACTCTTAATCTTGTTTCTTCATGGAGAAAATAAGGATGATTTTAACCTATGCTTTGTCAAGTTGCTAAGAGTCTAAGAGGACATGTTCCCTACACAGTTTTTAGTACCAGGGTTAGCATGTTATGAACTAGTACCATCCTGATGAGTTTTTGTCATTAGCAACTCAATAGAAGCTCTGGTCCTCTTCTCTTCCTGCTCCCCAAGCTCTGTGTAATATCCCAGGCCACATGGATCCCATCAGCCAGCATGCTGACAGTTCAACTCTGTCTAGTTACAAGGAGGGGGCCTCTGGAGACCTTTGGGAGAAAGATGACACCCTTAGGGCTACACATACCTCAGAGTCCCACTAGGAGAGGTGGCAAGGAGCTCCCAAGGGGAGATATGGAGGAAAGTTAAGTCCTACTGTCCTGGGCTCAGCTCACACTCCCCTCTTTCCATCCAGGTAACCATTCTCCATGGACTCAGTGAGCCTAGAGATGGAATCGTTCCCCTCTGTCCTCCTAGACCCCTGAGCTGGAGCTGCTGAACAGCACCCTGGAACTGCTGCGGGTGAACTGGGCCAAGCTGTGAGATATGGAGTGGCAGGCTGCAGAGGTGCTCAGATGGTGCATTCACCCCTGCAAAGTGGACCCTGGGCTACACTGCTTGCTTCCCCCAGGTTTACTACAGGGGAGCACACTCCCACATGTTTGAGTCTTAGACTCCTACCTGAGCCATGGCTTCCCCAAGCACATTATTCTGCTCCTTCCTTCTTGCTTGCTGTTCCACCATCGTGCTTGGCTGCATTCTAGGAAGCTGCTCTCTCTCCCTCAGTCCTCACCAGCAAGTGAAGGGGGGAAAGCTTGGACACCATGACACCGAGGAACCAGCCAGTCTTCTGTCTCCTTGTCCTCCGCTGTGGGCTTCAGCCCAGGAACTTGGCCCAGTGGCGTCCCCCAGCCCACCTCCTCCTCCTGGGAGTGGAGCCAAAGAAGAGTTAAACTCCCTGGAGTGGACTTGGGCTCTTTGGCAGAGGACAGCCTGGGAAAGCTGTTTGTTTGGCTCCGTTTACCTCAGGTTAGTTGCATGGAAACAGAGCCCAGAACGTGGGAATTCCATGGGATGGGGAGAGGTTTTTGCCCTTCCTCTCTCCCTCCTTTCCTCCGTACTGTGGACCTGCATCTTACAACATGGAAATAACACTTAGCTTCTTCAGGAGTGGCCATAGTGTTCCTTTGGTCTTTCTGTCCTCCCAAGAAAGGAAAGCCCCAGTGTACCCCAATGGAATCCTTAACAGGTTTTGCCCCTAACCCCCATTCCCCTGCCTTTCTTCCTGAGCTCCTGAGCTTTCTCTGAGGCACAGACCAAGAGCCCCAAGCCACACAGGCTGTGGAAGTTAATGTCCAGCGTGGGGACATGACCTCAGGCTGCCCCCACTGAGGGTCTGCTGTGGGTCTGGGCAGGAGAGAAGGCAAGTCAGGGAGGGAGCCTCTTTAATGCTGTGAGGGTGGAAGGTCAGAGAAGACACACTTCACCACCTAGCGCATTGGTGCAGGCTTGCACTGCTAGGCTGGCCATCTGCAGCATGCTTATATCTGGCAGTCGGCAGTTCAGAGCCCCAGACTGAGCCCTTGCATTGCTGAGAAGCAGTGGTTGGAGGAGCTCTTTGGATGGACCTCTCCTGCTGCCAAGCCCAGCGGAGCCCAGAAGCCTGGGAACAACCATGTTAGCAAAGTCTCTCACCTATTTTCAAGCTTTGCCTCCTTATTTTGACATTTCCAGCTACACAGGCTGTGGCTATTCCTTGTGCCCAGTTGCTTCCTGTAGACCCTGGGACATAATGAGCATCCCTCCCTCCCCTGCACCCCATGCACAGCACACACACACACCCCTCCCTGAAGTTATATTAAGTGCTCGGATGCCATCAGCCCTCCCCCGGAGCAGACTTTCTCTCTTTGGTCCTGAATGTCTTCATAAATTAGGAATCCACAACATGTGGTCTTGGGGGCCATCAGGTCAACCCCTTAATGTACAGGGAGGGCCAGAGCCCACAGGTCATGCAGTGCATTCTGGGGAAATGCAGCAAATTCCTGTGGAGCCTGTGCTGGTGCTAGTGCTGCCAATACCGTGCCTCAGCCCCTGCCAGGGTCCAAATGCTAATCTGCTCCTACTGAGTTCCTCAAAACAGTTGTGTGAGATCAGATGCAGTGGACCCTGGTCTTGTTTCCCTCGCACCGGTAATGTGGCTGCCAGGAATATCTCAGAGCCCGTGGTCACTCCCACGCAGGTGTCCTGTGAGGGTGAGTGAGCCTCAAGCCACTTTGCAATGTATACCAGTGAGAAGTGTCTGAGGCTAGGCAACAGCATGAAAAGCAATCTGAGCAAGTAAGGTTTACCACTGTGGGATGCTGCATGCCTGCTTTTAGCCTCCACTCCCCTCTGAAGGGACTGGGTGGGCTGTCCTCTGCCGGTGGCCTTGTGGACCCAGGGCTTCAGCCCAGTTATTTCCTCCTCCTGTTCTCTTTGATGGCCTGTGGCCATTGGCAGGTGGATAGAGGTGATCATCTGAAACATGACCTATGCCAGCCAACACTCTAGCTTTCTCCTTCCTGTTCTGTTGATGCCAATAGAACCAGCCACAGGCCAGTCCACTGGCCTAAATTAGAGGACACAGGAAATAACTCCAAATTCTCCCACTGCCAAGCCCAGCCAAGGCTAGAAGTCCAGGGGCAACCATGTTAGCAAGACTTTAAATGGTTGCTATTGGCAGCTACTAGGCTTTGAGATTGCTTGTTACGCACAATTTTTTTCAGCAGTTGCTGACCAGCCCAACATGTTCAAGGATGAGGTGGGAAGTTGGAAGTATGGCAATTGCTCTGAAGTTACCTTATGAATTCAATACATTATCTAATCAAACTCTCAATAGGAATTTTTAGAACTTGAAAAACAGATTCTAATTTATGTATAGAAAAATAAACTCTATGAATAGCTTAGAACATTTTGAAAAAGATGAGCGAAATTTGGGGCATTGGAGAAAGCTCATTTACTAGACTCTAAAACAGAATACAAAGCCACCAGACTTGGAAGTGTGGGACTGGGAGAGAAGGCAGACAGAGCCCCAGGAGTGGAAGGGGCTTGGAGAAAGAGATCAGGTACATGATAACATGTATGGGGGGAAAGGATAGATCATTCGCTAATAGGGTTGGGAAATGTGGGCAGTATGTGGAGAAAAATGAAATTGTTTCCCCCTTCACACCATGTTAACTAAATTAACTCCAGATGGATTCAGCACATAAATGAGAACAATGAAACAATAAAGATGATTTCTTAAGGGCAGGAAAATATCTTAGTGAGCTTGAGGTGAGGAGAAGGACTTTCTAATCAAGATGATACTAGAGGTCCTGAGGCTAGAGGTAACTAGAGGTTTGTCAGTCAGGGTGACCTTTTCCTCACCAGGGGAGGACACCAGAGATCGGGTGGCCAGACCTGCAATGTGGGGGACTCAGGAAGGAGTCACAGCAGGAGAGCCAAGCATGTCGTGAGCAGAAGGAGTAGAAGATGGGACACCCAGCACAGGGAGAGCAGCAGGTGGACAGAGGCCACCCACAGAGCAGAAGCACCAATGGTCAGTCAGGGACAAACATGCTTAATATCCCCAGTGGCTGGCAATGTGCAGGGGGCCCTGGAGGAACAGCCTTTAGGATGATGTGGACATTTGCAGGGAAGAGACATCTGTCTCTGGGGAGCAGTGGAACCATGCTGAGTCCTAGCTGGCCTGTTCTCTGCACTGTCACTAGAGGGGACAAGAATGAGAGGCCCACTGGTTTCCCATCACAGAGGCCCAGCTCAGGGGAGAGGGCTGTGACCTGCTAGCTGCACACACAAGAATGCGGACCAGGTCTCAGTGACAAAAGTCACCAGTGCTGGATGGACTCAGAGGCCCCAGCAATTTCCAAGGCAGTTGCACCCTGGGAAGGGGCTTTCCAGGAGGCATTGGGGGTGACACCTTCCTGCTTACGGCCCCACTGTTCACAGCATGTTCAGTGGCCAGCAGGGATCTCAGGGCCTTCTCCTGGGCCCAGCCTATGCCCTACAGGTCAGAGGAGGGGGCTGGAGTGGTAGGGCTCATGGAACATCCAGGCTTATCATCCACCTTCTCTGGGCCCCTGAGTTTTGAGTTGCAGGTCATCTCTCAAGGGGAATCCTGCCTCAGTTTCCTCACAGTGCCCTCTGAGCCTAGCCTGCTCATGACCAACCCACCCAGCCCTGAGACTTGCTGTGGAGGGGCCAGTGTGCCCCACCAGGCCACTGCCCCCCTGACTTGTAGAGTTACCACCCACTGGACCACTGACTGTGCCTGACCCAGCAGCAGGCTTAGCCCACACCCCAAGGGCAGCCCGAGCCCAGCCCCAGCTCCAGGCAATGCCTTTGTCTCTTGTGACCCCCGTAGGACCCTCAGTGGGCCAACCCTGGATCCGGTTGATCAGTTCCACCATGCTGACTAGGGTTGGCCTGGTTCATAGCATGCCTGAATTCCCCAGAGCAGCAGGTCCTGCCTGTCAGGGGGATGGATTCTGCACACATGCGGTTTAACACTCATTACTATTTTCGGTTTGAAACTCAACATGACACCCAGTCTGGATGGTGATATCTGACACATTACAGGTGAGAGCTTCGCGGGTGTGGGCTTTGGCCTTCTGCCTCCTCTGCCTGGCATGGCTTTGGGCAAAGAGCTGACACTCCGATTGGATTGTTGGCACCTTGCCCCATCCCCCTTCCTCTGCCAAGAGCCCCACAGGTTGGAATCTGTCATTTTGTTCTACTTACAGCCAGCACCTACAGGTGTCTTTTGGCTTTGGACCAGACCAATCTTGTCTTCTACCCTGTTGCTGCTTTAGGGATGAGGCATGTCCTCTGCTCCTGTGATTTAGGTCAGCACTCAGACTTCTGAGTCTCACTGTTCAAGATATGAGCCTAAAGCTGCTTGCTTGGAGTGCCTTTCCACCACAGATGCTAGAAACAGAACAAACAGGGAGAACAAAGTCAGAAAAGGAACGAGACCAAGTGTGAGCTCCTGGACCCAGCCATGCCTGAAGCACAAACCCCTTGACTGTCCAGTCATTATTTGAGCCAAGGGCTCCCTTTTTTCCCTTTCCCTTTCTTTTTTTTCTTTTCTTTCTGTGTGTGTGTGAGCACACATGTATGTGCATGTGTGTGTGTATGGGTGTGTGTATGTGTTTTAATTTGGTTGCTATCACAGCAGTCTGATTGATAAAGTAGGGAACTACACAGCTGCCTTCATGATCTTGGCAGGTCCCCATGTGAGGCTCTGGCCAGGCCAACCTTCCTTGGTTAAGGGTTTTGTGGTCATGTCCACATATCAGCGCTTCCTCTTGGACAACCCCCAAGCTGTCCCTCACTTTGATAGCATGGCAGGTGTAATGCAGCTCAGTAAAAAGAGGGCTCTGGAAAGTCAAGGCACCAAGGGAGGGGTGCTGCTCAGAGAAGGGGTGCCTCCCAGCTCCTGCATGAGTTCCAGAGGAGGCTAGATGTGGAAAGGGAGGTGGCCATGTACCCCTGAGCCAGTCCTGACTTGGTGACGAGGGAAGCGGATTGGTGCAGTGGACACTGCATATGTCCTTCTGCATGCAAATGAAGCTCCTGTCTGCTCGTGCTGGCCAGAATGTGTCAAATCAGACTGCTGGCAGCCTCAGCAGTCCACAGGGTCCTGATTGGAGCTGGCATCTTGCAAAATGCTGATGTGGCTGAAAGTATAAGCCCAAGCCCGTGGCTGGTGCACTGCATGCTTGGAGCAGGACAGATGGTTTCAGGCTTGCCCAGGCTCTTGCAGGCTGCTTGGGGCTCCCCCATGCCATCTGCTGTGACGATCTTCCAGGGTTGCCAAGGGCAGCATCAGACCTGGTGGAGCTGGGCACGGGCTTGGGTGGCAGGATGGAGTGGAGCCAGCAGTTATGGGTTCTCATCTAGGAGCAGCCTGAACAGCTCCTGCAAGCAAGCATCTGCCTTGCTGTGAAAGCATATTGTTTCCAAGAGGTTAAAAGATATGAAGAGAGGGAACCCAGGCTTGAGTGCTCTGGACTCTCCAGACTCACGTCATTCTCCCACCCCCACACATCTCCACCGTGCCTGCGCTCCTGCAGCCACGGTGGATGTGCTTATCCTCCAGGCCTCCTGGGAAGAGGCATCTCTGTCCAGAGGCTGGCAGCTGGGTTGGGAGTGGGAGGGGCTGAGAGCTGGGAGAATAAATTAGAAGAATCCAGGCAGTAGGAAGACCCTGGGCCCAGGGGCGGTGAGTGTATCTGAAGGAGTGTGTGTGTGTGTGTGTGTGTGTGCAGTGTGTGTGCATTTACAGGAGGGCAGGGAGCCCTGTGTCGGCCCTAGGATGCCCTTCCAAAGGGTCTTCTAGACCTCTGGAAGTCTGTGCTTCCAGCGTGCCTCATGGCAAGGCTGCAGTGTGTACATTGCCCCTTGTTGAGAGGGAGACAGGGTGATAGGGCGGGGGAGAGAGGCAGGCCCCATAGCCCAGTACACCAGGCTCCTCCAGCCTCTCCCTCTGGCCATCTCCCTGGAGAGCAGCCTGTCATCTCTGCACCAGCACTGGGGACAGGTGGCAGAGACCAATCCTTCCTCTTTCTCATTGATAGCTTTGCCCTGGACCTCTCTTCTGCTCAGGTGACTACACAAAGGCTCTGGTTCAACCCCCCCACCCCCACACACACTGATCTTTCTCCCACCAAGTAGGAGAATGTACGGGAGGCCCAGATTCCCCTAGACCTGTGGCTCAGGGACCCCAGTGAAGGCCTCTAGCACCTGGTACCTGAGAATATCTTTCCTCACTGAGGCAGGTCCCTGGTGCTCGGCCTAGAACCAGCCCTGGTGCCGCGTGGGAATTGTGTCCAGGTCTCTCTGTCCCTGCTCTGTTCCTCCTTAGCTGGCTGCCTTTTCCAGGAAGACTTCTCTGATTTTCTCTGCAGCCCTCCCCTTAGGATCCTCCCATGCCATGTGGCTAATGTGCCCATCTTAGGGGCCACCCCAGCTCTATACCCCTGGCCAGCTGTGGCAGAAGCTGCAGGATCAATCTGGTTGTTGTGATGAGTATTGACAGAGATAACCTCTCAAAAATGATCATATGCCACATGTGATGTCCTTGGTGGCCTGGGAACTCCCCTCCAATAGGACCCAGAGCTAGGGCTGTGTGTTCCCCACAGGGAGCCCAGTTCTACCTCCTCACTTATCCCTTTCTATACTATCCACACCCTGGATGGCACACCATCACAGTCAGACAGACATCACTTCATAGCTTCCCTGGGCAATTTACAAGTTCTGTGACACTGGCCTTTCCCGGAAGTGTGCAGTGCCTCAGTTTCCCTCTTTCTGAGCTAGAGAGGGCTGAGCAGTGGCTGCCACAGAGTACATGGGGGGAATGAGTGAGCTGAGGCCATGTCAGAGCTCAGCAACACCATCTGGTCACAGGCAGCTCTCTGTCTCTGTCTCAGGCTCCCATTTCACTGGAAACCCTGATGTGTTCAGAGTGGGCAGGAGAGAAGGGTGCAGCTGACAGAGGCCTCCAGTTGAGCCCACAGGAGCACCACAGACTGGCGTGAGTGCCACATCCATGCTCACAGGTGCTCAGCTGGAGCATCGGGATTCAAAAGGGCAGAGCAGCAGCCACAGAGAAGAGGCCTGGGCAGAAGGCAGCCTCCAACCTGCCCACTGTGTGGTCAAAGCTTTCCATGGATACTCCAAAGAGGAGGTAACCAATCGGCATTCAGCCCTCAGAGGCAAAAGGATGTTCTGTAGAGGGTGTTCAGTAGGCTCAGAGACCTCGGTCAGTATTATCCTTTCTCCCACTAGGGTTAATTGTGCAGAGGGCAGCTGAGTTGCCAGTACAGGCCAGGTCTCATGGAGAGGCTGGGGTGTCAGAGACTCTGTTGCTTTTGTCTCCTACCTGGAACAGTGGCATGCCTCTCTGCAGGATGCTAACAGACCTGGGCCTGGCCAGGTGTAGACTGGACTACTTAGGGAGTGGCCAGTTACCAGCCAGAGTTTCCTTGGGATGGGAGCAGATTGGTGAGGAAGGTTGGTGAGGACACCTGCTGGTGGGCAAGTGGAGAAACGACAAAGTGCCCCAGCACAGGCACAGCAGTGTCCTGGGGGCCCTGGTCCAGCATCTGGGTCCGGACCCAGCACCCCAGGACCCTCCTCACCAGGAGCATATCCAGGCCTCTCCAGGTCATTAGGTTGAGGGAGGTGCCTATTGCTAGTGACCAGGAGAGCCTACATTCTGCAGGGGCTGAGTAGGCCAAAGGTGATGTTAGGGTTTGGATCGAGAATGTTCCCTCAAAGCCTCATGTGTTCAGATGTGGGACATTTGGAAGGCAAATGGATCAGGGGAACACTATACTCCTCAGTGGATTAATCCACTGATAAATTTATAGCTGAATGTGCTGTTAGGAGATAGGAAGAGGTGGGTCACTGGGTGAGTGATCTGGAAGGATGTATTCTTGTCCTCTGCTCCTCCTTTCTCTATGCTTCCTAGATGCCACAGGGTAATCAGTTTTCCTCTACCAGGCCCTCCAATATGCAGTTTCTGCATTGGAACAGCCAACCATGGACTGAACCCACTGAAACTGCGAGCCCAAAAAGGTCCTCTCCTCCTTTAAATTGCAGGTGTTGGTTATTTTGTCCTAGCGACAAGAAAGTGACTCATACAGGTGAAGCCTGGTTCACCAGATTGAGGGGAGGAGAGAGAGGGGAGGATTCTGGACACTCTCATGTAGAAAAGCTCCTTCCAACCTCAGCGGAAGTCTTAGGCCTGCCTCTCGCATGACTGTGCCCTGCTCAGTCCTGCACCTTCCTTCACATGCCCCGTAGTCACTCAGGTCTGCACAGCCCACCTGCTATCCCTTTCATTTTGTCCTGGACCTGTTCATGAGCTTCTTGCTTTCTCCTCTGTAACTAAAGGCTCAATCCCCACATCTAGCTCTCTGGTGCTCTTAGCTTCCATGTGTTTTGAGCAGAGAGAAACCAGTGCTGGATCCTGCTTTCTGGGCATGTCCAACCTGACCAGGGTCCTGTCCTGCAGCAGCAGCACCTGGGAAAGGGAAGGAGCATTCAATGAGACATTTGCTGTGCCAGTTACCTGCCCATCTCTGCTGACCTTGTTCCCAGGGTCAGCGTGAGCAGTAGGGGGCTAGGCTCCTGCCTTCAGGGACAGCAGGCACTCTCGTGGCATGGGGGTTTTCCTTGGGGACCAGTGTCTCGGCAGCAGGTATGGAGGGACCAGCATGGGGTGGGATGTGGGTAGAGTGACTCATACCCAGGAAGGAGGAACTGGGACTCAGGGTCCTAGGGGAAACAGGACGAGCTCTGCATCACACTTTGCCTTCGTCTACCTGATGACACAATGAACAGGTGAGAGGGGATGGCTCACCAGCTTCCTCCCAACTCCAGCACATCCCTTTGTGTGGCTCACCTCCCTCTCCCCACCTGTTGGAAGCCACACGGGAAACTGAGCTGGCTGAGAATTTGGAAACTGAGATCATGCAAGATGGATGAGCAATCTCAGAAACAGTCTGTGAGCCTGTTATGTGGGCACACTGGTACCATGCAAGTGGTCCCTACTGCTACCAGGCAGGCCCTTTAGATTTTGGTCCCCCTGGTGGCACCTTGAGAGCAAGTGACAGGTGTAATGGAATCTAAGGATGTGGCCTGTCAGCTGTCAGAGAGGAGAGAATGGGAGAAGCTGCATGGCATGTGACAGCTGCAGAGGCTGCAGGAGGCAATGCCAGAGGTGGGGCTGGTGCATGTGAGTCGTATGCAGAGAGGCACCTGGACTCTGGGAGGTGGGATTTCCGGGACCACCTTGGGAATTGCAGATCCCCCTTTCCATCTTCCAGGCTTACTGCTCACTTTACCATTAGGAAGGTAAGAGGGAAACATGGTAGGGAGTTTGGGAAAAAGAAAAGGGAGAGTAAGAAGCCCAGCCTGCCACCATTCCATTGCTTAGGAAAGCATTTTCCATGGAGTCCATGATCCTCAGGCCCTGATCATGGCCAACAAAGCTGGTGAGCCCTGCCCCAGATTCTGGCTTGCTGTGTGTCCTACTACAGCAAGGCTCTAGCTCTCCAGCCAAGCCTACAGACTCAAAGGCCACCCATCTGTCCAAG